CTTGCTACGAAATGTGTTCTGCGTTCACTTAAAGGTTTCCATTTCAGTTCGTCTAGAGCAAGCTCAGATTGACCGTGTTCGTTTTTACGGCCAGTAATAACTCTAGCTGCCCTATTTTGTAGTTTCTCGAGTCGATTAGAGTTTAGTTTTCGCACGCAGTTTATTCAGTTTTGCGCGCACTGAGTTTATTCTGATAAAAATGGTATAATTATGAAAAACAAAACTTTGTACGTTTTCTATCAAACTTCATTGGTTTATTTACAATTTCCCGTCCATTTACAGATGATTTTGAGTTTGTCCAAACGCTCAATTTTGATGGAGGATTTGCTTTTTCAGTTTCCATCTCAAACCTACCAGAAACAAAAGGTTCAACTAGAAATTCATACTTTTACTTTTGCGTTTGATTATTAAACCATTAAAACCTAAAAACACTGTAACAATAAACTTTTCCCTTTGTCTTTGTTTTTGCCATTTAGTACCAATTCTTGCGTGTGGTTGTGAAAATTCAGCGGTTTACCTGTTTACTGAAAGAGAGTGCAAGGTTTGTTGTCTTTCATTCGTAACGTTTTCTAGTTGAAATGGGAAAAATATGCTGCCATGTTTTGGTGAAGAACCTGATAACGATATCTCGAACATGCGCTGTGGTTTGTACCTGAACTGGTTTACGTCGATGGTTTACATGGTGGTCCAGTGTAGCTAGTATGTGTCTGAACTATACCTAAAAATGAGTAGAACACTTTTAGCCACAGCAGTATCCTCAATATTTTGAAATGTGTTCAATATTTTTCGAGTAGTTCAGAGACAAACCATCGGGCAGATTGTTTGTTTATATTTTTAATAAAACAAATAAATTTGGCGATTATTTAGTTTGTTCTTTCTTTGAAACTACATGGCCACGAAGACTGGATACGCGACGTGAACTTCGCTCATTTAGGTAAATAATGCGTTGTGTTTTACCGCAGTGATATTTAGGAAACAGGAGATTAATACAAACATGTTTTAGTTACACACTCAGATTCAGCACTGAGATTCTGCAGCCTGCGCGCAGACTATATAATGACATACCGTATTTACTCGTTTGAGCGCCGCGGCGCTCTTTAAATTTTCAGAGCTTCAGATGCGACGCTCATTCGGGGGCGGCGCTCTTTAAAAAAAAAATTATTTGTGAATTATAACAAGAACTTTTAACAATGAAATAAACAAGTATTAAATGTTTTCGTCACTAAATGTCTCCATTTTGACGGTGGAAAGTTTTTACACTGTTTAGTGCGGCGCTCATTCGGGGGCGGCGCTCTTTAAAAATATTTGATCTCAAATGCGGCGCTTATTCGGGGGCGGCGCTCAATCGAGGGCGGCGCTCAATCGAGTAAATATGGTATGTCATTATATAGTCTGCGCGCAGGCTACAGATGGTGGTCAACCTGCAGTTATCGGAGTGGGAAACTAATGTTTTGAGGAAAAGTAAATACAATTTCTGGCTCCTGTCAGTGTCGACATGTCTGCAGTTGGCCATCTGATGCTGTCGCTTAACGCTTACTGAAATCCACCAATCACATTTCCAGATGATGATGACGTAATGTTAGCGAGTTGTTCCCAGGATAATTTCATCCGAGTGTGGCGTATAACTAAAGTCACTGATCTCGTAGACGAGTCTGGAGTGATTGATGACAACATGAAAAATCTAGAGTTAACTTCAAATAAGTTTTCTGTAATATCAGAAGGTGAGCGATAATATTTGAGGAAATTAAGTCCCATTCACACTATACGCTCAATTTTGATACCATTTTTATCCATGTTCGGATTTATCCATTTTTATCCATGTTCGTTTTGATTTTTTCTTAGTGTGTGAAGATGTGTCGTTGAATTACTCGGCTGTCCTGGAAACGATTTTATCAGGACATGAAGGATGGATTTATAGTGTCTGTTGGCACCCTAAAATCCGCCAAGGTAAAACATTACTGCGTTTAGTTGCTTTACATTCTTTCCATGAGTTGTTTTGTGTAGTATTTAGTCGAATGATGATTTTAACTTTCAGACAACAAGTTTCATCAACCGTTATGCTTGATGTCGTCATCCATGGACAAGACAATTGTGATTTGGAGGTTTCATAGCGAGGCTGGAGTGTGGATGGATGACGTAAGTAGCTTCATAAAAATAAACCTACAGGTTCACTCAAAACGTCCAAAATGTTTCCTCTTTCTCACGATGATGAGAACCACGGTAAATCTTCGTTCTAGGTGCGTGTTGGTGAGGTGGGAGGAAACACTCTGGGCTTTTATGGTGGGGTATTTAACCCGACCGGTGAGAAGATCTTAGCTCATAGCTACCAAGGCTCTTTGCACATGTGGAGGAAAAGCGAGAGTTCAGTAAGTTTGATATATGTGCTGTTCATATAGGTAATGTTCTGTTCGTCTTACAATGTTGTTTTGTTCAGGAGTCGTGTTCATGGGAATCAGTGTCGACTGTCAGTGGTCATTTTGCTCCTGTTCAGGTTGGGTGAAGATTTCTAACAAACGTTAAAAATCATACAGAAATACTCTTGCTTTAAAATATAAAAGTGGAGAATATCTCGTGTGTCTAATACTTGATGTAAATACTTGATTCAGGATATTGCTTGGGATCCGGAGGGTGGAGAATTTCTGATATCCCTGAGTTCTGATCAAACAACCAGGATTCATGCGCCGTGGAGAAGGTCTGGGTACAAGGTAGGAAGACACACGTGACGAGCCAGATGACATCCTCGGTCAGCCGTGAGGCCCTGGGACCGAGGATGGCCAGATGATGATGGTCAGCTTCAAAATTGATCACTACTACATAGAATGAAAAGAATCATCATTATTTTCTCACTCTGGAAACTGCAGGTTGACCATCATCTGCTGCACGATAGTGCTTAGTGAGACTCGCTAGTCCAGCGTTTAATATTATTATTTTTCTGCTAGACAACATGGCATGAGATTGCTCGTCCCCAGGTCCACGGCTACAATATGCAATGTCTGGCGATGATCTCAAGATATAGTTTCGCATCTGGAGCAGATGAAAAGGTAAACATTGTACTGTTTTTCTGTTCATTTTTTTCTTTGTACAAAAAAATGAGGTGATGATGACACAGTAGTTAGGACTCTTCCAAGAATGACAGGTTTCCCTGTAGTAACGCTAGAAAGAAATGAACAACAATAGGAGGTATCCACGCAGTGGAAATGAAATTAGTTGGAATTTAAAATAATTTTATTTTTATTTTGTGAAGGTCATTCGTTTGTTTGAAGCTCCCAGAAGTTTTGTGGACATGTTTGCTTTCCTATCTCAGATTTCTGATGAAAATGTAAGAAGTAAAATAATTTAATTTTATATTGCTAAAAATTCTGAAATGGTGAACAATGTTGTGTCTCTTTTGCAGGTAGTTGATTACAAGCCGCTTGGAGCCAGTGTCCCAGTTTTGGGTCTTTCTAATAAAGCTGTATTTGATGGTTAGTTTTGTTATTTAGTAGGAAACAAAATACGACACATAGTACAGTTGCTTGTCCGTCGAAGAGTACCTTGTGAATACGTTAAATTACGTTTATCCTTTCGACAGATGATCTTAAAAATTTGAAAGATGATTTGAAGGATCCACAACGACCAATGAAAGCATCAGCATTTGCGAGCGAAGAACCAGCACCCTTTTCACCTTTCATTCCTAAAGGTAGATTTCAGAATGTAGTGAATAATTTAAAAAAATTTTTTTTTGGAAGCTAACTGCTAACTTTGTGGGAATGAAATGAACGAAAACTTAGCTCTTGCTTTATTTTCTAGAGCCACCAACAGAAAATAATTTGATGCAAAGCACGCTTTGGCCCGAAACACAAAAACTGTAAGTTCAGTTTTATTAATTGCACTAAATTGAAGCGACTGATTAGCGCGAAATAGATTGCAATGTTGTGAACTGTAAACTGTAAATAATTCTTTATATTTTGACTATTTTGTATCACGGCATGTTAAACATCTAATTGATAAATGTTTCCTAATTTGAAGGTGCCCAACACTTTATAAGCTTTTATAGCTTCTTGTTGGGTTTCCCTCTACCTTTTACCTGCTGTGAATTCCAGTTTTTCTTTTGTCATCAAGGTACGGTCATGGATACGAAATATTCTGCATGGCTTACGAACCACATTCTCACTTGCTAGCTTCTGCGTGTAAGGTATGTGAAACAGAAGTTGTAATTACGGGACAAGCGCTTATCTTAGTTTCTCTGAGATTCAGAGGCATCCCCCAACCTCGTACCCAGGGATTTTGCGCTTGAGACATCCCCTGGACAGCGGTTGACATCCTAAACCTTGATTGAAATTTCCAGGCGTCTAAAGCGGATCACGCCAGCATATTGTTGTGGGATACGTTGTCATGGAAACAAGTTGGCTCTCTCCAAGGTCATGCGCTCACTATCACTCAGATGGAATTCTCACATTCTGGGAAATATTTATTGTCTGTGTCACGTGACAGAACGTGGTGTTTCTTTGAAAGAATGGAAGAAGAAGACGCCAGTAAGAGATGTTTATTTTTATTTTTTAATCTTTATATCCTGTTTTGCTCGCTTCTAAACTGTTCTCCCTAGGGGTCCAGAGAGCCACTCGTGTTAATCCAGTGTTATTACAGGAGGAAACCTAAACTAAACTAACTTTATTGATACTGGATAGTGATAGCTCTAACGGTTCTAAACTGTTTTCCCTGGAGATCCAGCAAGGAATGCCCCTTATTGATCAAAAGTGTTGAAACATAAGTACCAACGAGGATGGCTGTGGTACAGTGAAACTCTTCTTATTTTTTGTTGAGGTGGATACAGATTATCTGCAAAATACGACAAGAAAAGCAAAATAATAAGCAGAGTCATTTGGTCATGTTCATGGACTGTTGATGACAACTACTTTCTTACTGCTTCCAGAGACAAAAAGGTGACTTGTCTATAACTTCGATATTTAGTACCCAGCTCTAAACTGTTCTCCCTTGAGGTTTAATTAATAGCGACCACTCAGTGTTGCTACAACAGGAAACCAAAACTATACTAATTTCTTGATTGTCCCATTTTCTCATCTATTTTCTGAAGGTCGTAGTTTGGGGCCGAGATGAAAATAAAAAGGATTGGGTCCAAATAGGTAACCCTTTGGACGCCGGTGAAGCTGTGACAGCGGTTGCTGTGTCAATGAATACTTCATGTCTGCCATGGTAAGTGTTTTGATCAGAATGTTCCATTGTCTTTTCATTCTTTGAAAACCCTGTGTTCTCTATTCCATCCAATCATTGGTTGTTTTGATTTACTGTTAATATTTATAGAACTGCGTGGTATACATTTAGACATTAATTAATTAAATTTCTGTTTATAATTTGTACACAGTTATCTTGTGGCCATAGGAACCGAATCAGGTGAAATACGTTTATATAATTGGAGCCTTTCATATGGCTGGAAAAATATTACTGCTGAAAAGTATCCTTTATAATTAGTCGAAGCAATTATAATTGATTATCATTGAGTTGAGCCTGCGCTGTACTGATGGTCAAGGAGTCTTGCTCTTTACGAGTTAGGCTCAGCGGATGAGACAGGGTAATATAGAGTTAGGGTGGGCATTCATAAGCAGGGAGACATGAATCTATAACCTAAATTTTCATAGAATTGTAGTCTGTTCTCTCCTGCGACGTTTTTCTACCAAAACCTATTCCTTCCAGAAGTTCAGAGTGAACCTTTAACTCTGTTACGTTTGAGCTGTGTCCTTCACAATCAGCAGATTAAAGATTATTCTTTATTTATTTCTACCTTAACTGCACATGTAACAACAGAATTGGTCATAGAGGAACAGTGACAAAACTACGGTGGCGACCTGGTGATAACTCGCTAGATCTTGCCAGCTCTGGCACTGATAACTGTGTCAAAATTTCCCAAATCAGATTGCAATAAAACTCCAAGAAAACGCCAAGAAGGTAATTATCCACAAAGGTTTCTGCCATTGTTTGGATCTGAACTACCTAAGAAGGCAAAAACAGATAATTACAGTGAATGTTATTTCGACAGGAAATCTAATAACTTCATATGCTACTTAAGCATGTCCATGAGTTTTATCTGCTGTTGCGGGTATTTTGCATTTCTTTATTTTTAGTAGAGTTAAGTTCTGCTGCTGCATCACCTTGAGTCGTCTGTTGAAGAAGACTTGAAGCTTGAAGAAATTCCTCAAGTGGCAATAAATGCACTGCACGGTGAAGAAGATAATTGAAGAAAGTGGGTCAAAGACCTCTTCCTTGTTGTATATCTAGGAGGAGACGTTTCAAAACGCCAGAAAGATCACACATAGGAGGAGTTGATCCAGTCTCAGGATGTTGAGGACAAATGAATTTTCGCTCTTTACGAAGTTTTGAAAGTAGACAAAGAACAGTTTCTGTCAAACTCCGTGCAACATCGCGAACATACTTTTTACACCAAGACTAAAATATGATTTGGAAATTGGAGTTAACCATAGTTGATAGAAAGATCTGGAGTTAACTGAGGCTACGTTTACACCGTACCCGGATAGCTTTCCGTAGCGACCTGAGAAAAAAACACATACCCGTACCTTTTAGGAACGCTGGTTTTAGAGGAATTATTGCAACAGAGAGATGTTGTTTTGCTCAGCTTCTGAAAAGTTCTACATTCCGTATCGGATAGATGCTTTTTCGCGCCGCTACGGAAAGCTATCTGGTATAGTGGAAACGTAGTCTGGTCAAATTGTTTCAGACATTAAATGTTTGTGTAAAAATTGGACATGATATTAATTTATGCATAATATTTGCTTTTGAAATGTTCATGGGTAGTTGTTATCGACGGTATCGTGAACTCCACGCGATTTCTTCACGAGGCAATTTGGCGAGTATAAACAAGATGGCGACCGAATGGTCGCATATTGTTGAAATACTTTCCGCAATTTCTAATGGTTCTCCACACGATGCCGTGCCAGATTTGTGCAAAGTTATCAACAACAGGTTAGTCTTTATAGCTTTGTAGTTTTTTTTTTCTGCTTTGTGAAGCTGTTGTTACATAATATTTGTGTTTTAATTGCTCAATACAGAAAGTGAAATTGTGGGCATTTTTTCTAAATGCGGAACCAAACTTGTCCTACTGTGCATGCGACTTGTTATATGATTAAGAGTATTTAGTTTATCTGAACTTGGTAGGCTGTGAAAAGTTTTCCATATATTACTTTTTATGTAAAAGCATATCAATCGAAAATAGTCGTTTGAAGCGAAAATGTTTATTTTAATATTATGGAAATAGGTACATTAGGCGTACATATTTAATAGGAGGGCATAAAATATTTTGCGGTTTTTGGATACATATATTGTTTAAAGATGTCCCTTCTTGTATTCATTGGGTTAGGTCAACTAAATATATAATAAAAAATTTACCACATTGCAAAAATTGTCCGTAAACAACATGTCAACAAAAATGCAACAATTAACAACATCCTGTTTCCATGCAAATTATTTAATTTATATAATTTAGTATAATTTAGCATTTCTTGGAATTCATCTAAGCAAGTGTATTACAGAGAATGGTAGATTCACAGGGCTGCAAATAAATATTTGACTTGACAGGACATTTGTCCGATCACTTTTAATTTTGGTCGGACATAACTTGAATTTGGTTGGACATATATACGTCACAAGACATATGTAAGTCATGAGACAAGTATGTATAGCCATTCCGGCGCAACGTCAAGTAAAATGCTAGACTGCCTCGTAAATTTTATTGCAAATTGAGTGAATTTGCAATTGGATTTTGTTACAGCAAAAAAATGTATATAATGTGACAATATATTTTTTTGATCGGACCATTTGCCAAATTTAGTCGGACATTGTCCGATGTTCGACAGTAATTTGCAGGCCTGGTAGAAAATATCTGACAAATAGTTATTGAGAGGAGTGGCGGAAAGTATTGAAGTTGTCTATTGTGTGTAAATTAATGTCAACCTCATTCCCAGGGTACGAGGTTGAATTAATGTAAGTACCTAAAGAATGGAACAAACTTTGACACTTATTCACATGATTGTTGAGATAAATGGCCTTTACTAAAAACAGCCAAGTTTGTTACATTCAAGAATTTGCTGGCCATTTTAATTAACCAAGTTAACCCATTAAATCCCAGAACTCTCCACTTGACAAGTAAAATTGTCTGACAATAGACAGAGTAAAATAATAAAACGGGGCATATAAGACTGCAATGCAACTTAGTGGGTTAAATTTGTTAAAAGAGAATTGTTCATGTGAATAAACATGTGTTATTAAATATTTTAGACGTTCTGATATACTTAATCCTGAAGACGAACATGAAGAATTCTTTTCTTCAGTGGTGGCTTTATCAGCTCATTTTATTGGCCTTAATATATCTTCCTGTAAGTAGTTCTCCTTCTAACAAGGTATCACTTGCTTTATTTGGATGTCTTGGTCACCATTTCAAGCTGGGAAATATAAAACTGATACTATAACATTAAGATTGACTGATGACAAGAATTTTATCGTTCTTAGGTACCGATTGTTTGCACCATGCGTCTGGGGCATGTAAGGTTATACTACAGTTTTGCTTGGCCAGAATTACTAAAGAAAGAGATAAATTTCTATCAACGGTTGGTATTTCATTGAAATAATTAAAACTTAAATTTGTATGTAAAATTGCCCGGCATTAGACAGAGTAAAATTTATGATAAAGTAGGGTGCATTGCAGCTCAATCGGTGAACAAGAGATTGTTTGGTTTACCCATTACAGTGTCATCTGGTGTTAGACAGATAATATAGTGGCAGGTAAATCAGAAATGCAAAAAGGTTTAATTTTGTAATGTATACAAAATAAATGCAATTTCATGCTTTATTTATTCTTTTATCAGAAAAACCTTGTGTCAGTGATTGAAGGGTTGTGCAAAGGTCATGGTTGTTTGGATCGAACAGAAGTAATTGTATTTATGGATAAAATAAAACAAGCAAAATATCCAAAGAATGAAGAGACTTCAAAAAGTTTAGAAGTAGCAACGAAAACTGAGTTTTATGGCAAACTAACGAGGCAGGGACTACTAAATACCAACCAGAGCTTTGCAAGGTACACAATATTTAGCATGTATGTTTTAACAACAATACTTTCTGAACTTTATTGTGCTTCATTCCTACAATATGCACTTGTTTGATTATGGTTTTATCTCAGTTGCAAGTGAGAAAAGTATTTCCAGTTTGACTCTACCAAACACAGCAGGTTTTCTTGAGATCTGGATTACTACTCTGACTTTTAGCTGTACTGCTTCAATAAGAAATTATCTTTATAGGAAGAACAGTTTAGAACTGATAGAGCTATCCAGTTTAAATAAAGTTAGTTTAGTTTAGGTTTCCTCCTGTAGTAACACTGGATCAATAAGAGATGATCCTTACTGGGCCTCTAGGAAGAACAGTTTAGAACTGATAGAGTTATCCAGTATAAATAAAGTTAGTTTAGTTTAGGTTTCCTGTAGTAACACTGGATCAATAAGAGATGACTCTCTTACTGGACCTCTAGGAAGAACAGTTTAGAACTGATAGAGCTATCCAGTATAAATAAAGTTAGTTTAGTTTAGGTTTCCTCCTGTAGTAACACTGGATCAATAAGAGATGACTCTTACTGGACCTCTAGTGACAACTGTTTAGAACTGATAGAGATATCCAGCATAAAGGTAGATAGTTTAATTAACATCACAAGTAAAAAAATATTTTCCAAATTAGACTGCCATTTGCAAGACATCGGATGTTTGGATTTGAAGATGATGACATGATCGATATAAAGACGTATCTCTGCAATGCAAATGTTTCCACACTGAGAGAAATGCAAGGAGGACAAGTCTTGCTAGATCTTTGTGCCTCACTACCTATCATGTCAAAGTTCATGACATTACGTGGTATGACTGAAGGCAAGCCATCTATGAAGATGATTGATAGTCTGCGTATTGAAGACATGTTGACCTTTCCTATAAACAGGTGGGTGGCCACATTGAAAATATGCACTTCAATGGACCTACTAACGAACAAAATTTTGATCTAGACAAGTCTAGACAAAAATTTTATCACAGCGTGAAAGAGCATCACAAAATTAGTGTCTAGATCAAAATTTTGTTCACCAGGTAACAGGTTAATTAAGATTTGAAATGAACAGATCAACTCCAGAAATTATGTGGGCATACTGGAGCTATCAAAACTTGTCAACAACTTGAAAAATCCTTGACTTTCTTTTTCAGTATCAAATAAGTTTGTATTTTTTTTCTTGCATTAGAGCACCAGAGTTGGCATCAGAAATGAACTTAATCTGCAGCATTGCCTCCATACCCGTCATGGAACCTCTGAACAGTTGTCGTTTGAATAAAATAATGTTGTTAACATTGGGTTGTGTTGATATTGCAATGTACGCTGCCTCTGGATATCTTACTGCAACTGCCATAGGTACTGCTGGATAATTTCTAAATTTGAGCTTGCTCCTGCTATGTGCGGTGGTTAATTTAAGTGCCACTGGGAAAGAAGTTTCTGCAATATGTTGTAGTAAGCCAACCATGATATTGCCTCAGTCTTTTGTGACACAAGTTTTTTTACTTTACCAAACACCTTGTGTTTTCTCTGTCTGTAGTTCAGTTTTTTCCTGTAGTAACATTGGGACAATGAAGCATGACTCTTGTTGGATCTCTAGGGAGATTAGTTTAGAACTGATAGAGCTATCCAGTATAAGTAAAGTTAGTTTAGTACTTTAGTTTAGGTTTCCTCCTGTAGTAACACTGGATCAATAAGAGATGATCCTTACTGGACCTCTAGGGAGAACAGTTTAGAATTGATAGAGCTATCCAGTATGAATAATGTTAGTTTAGTTTAGGTTTCCTCCTGTAGCAACACTGCATGATCAATGAAGGATGACTATTACTGGATCTCTGGGAAGAAAAGTCTAGAACTGATAGAGCTATCCAGTGTAAATGATGTTAGTTTAGTTTAGTTTAGATTTCCTCCTGTAGTAACACTGAATCAATGAAGGATGACTATTACTGGATCTCTGGGAAGAACAGTTTAGAACTGGCAGAGGTATTCAATAAAAGTTAGTTAGTTCAATAAAATATAGTTTTCAGTAAAATACTTATCTTATATAGCAATAAAAACATTTATTTATTGCAGACGAGGTTGATAAAATGGCAAAACAACTTGTTGACACCAGCGTACGTATTCATCCCATGGCATGAGCTAGACAATATTTTGAGAGGGGTATGCTGAACTCAGCTGAAGACTGGAAGGAGCATGGCTGAAGATCCCCCTATCAGAGCTTGCTTGAACCAGCATTTCTTCACCTTGCATTATTAATATAATTCACAAATAAATTGAAGTATTTATTTTTACTCCATTTTACTAATTTATGTTTATTTGTTTATAGTTGTCAATAGTGGATGTGATTTCTCACACCTTATCAACATCTCACAGAGCAGGAGGACATATTGTTCAGAACTTTAATCTTCTTGTCAGTCATTGTATATTGAAAGGCCTTTTCCCTCTCTTGAATAATAGAGCTATTGACGAAGAGAGAGCTAGTGAGACAAGGTACGAAATGTGGTGGTTCAGCTGTAGGTAGTATTTTACAATAAGCTGTCGTGGTTTGTGTCTGAACTACCTGAATAATATATTTCAACACTTCAAGCAAAAGCCGAGGTTAAAGGGTATGGGCAATAAAAATTGCTTCATCTATCTTATTGCTTTGTCTGAAAGAGCATGAAAAAATAAGCCGATTGGCCGTTTAATGCTCTATTCTATCTCATCTAGTTCCGAAGTTATACGCAAAAATGTGCAAAATATAAATTGCTGACGTCATTAGCTGGGTAAGTATGTTTATTGAATACTACACTGAAGCATAACTCAGTTATTATGGGCCCAAATCAAATGAAATTTTGGATACTGATTGTACATGATGAGACGCATGGAAAAACACTTCTAATTTTGTTGCCAAGGTAACAATGTCGTTCCCAGGCCCCTTGCGCCAATTTTATAAAACAGCTTTATTCAAGGTACTGACAAAAATAAAATAATATCAGAAGTATGTGTACGGTACCTATGCATGCCAAAAGTTTACTTGCATGATAATAATTCGAAAATGACATACACATAGAGAAATGCAACTAGTTATTCAAAATCAGTGTAAGGGGCCTGGGAACGACTGTGTTGCCTTGACAACGAAATTAGAAGTATTTTCCCATTCGTCTCATCATGTACTATCTGTATGCAAAATTTCATTTGATTTGAGCCAATAATAACTCAGCTATGCTTTAGTTTACTATTCAATAAACATACTTACCCAGCTTATGACGTCACACATTGTGCTGAATCAACAATTTATATTTTGCACATTTTTGCGTATAACTTCGGAACCAGATGAGATAGAATAGAGCAGTAAACGGCCAATCGGCTTATTTTTTCATGCTCTTTCAGATGAAGCAATAAGATAGGTGAAGCAATTTTCATTGCCCATACCCCTTTAATAGCGAGGTAATTGTCTACTTTGAAAATCTAGATGGGAAGGCTTCAACATGCTGCGTATGGAACTGAGTAAGAAGGTCATTGGTATATTATCCTCATTATTGGAAGATCTGAAGATGGAGAGCAGTGATGATGAAAGTGGTGCTGCTATTACAGCGGATGATATGAATATTGAAGTCCATGTATCAGCTTGGTGTCGAGTGAAACTACTGTTTGATCATCTCGAGCTTGTCCCGCTCCTCATGAGAATATTTATGCGTTCTTACTACAAGGTGAGTTATGAAATGACTGCCTTGCACTGTCCAGAAACACAACAAAAGATGAACTATTCAGTTTGTCTACTGAGATCAGCGTACATGCGAAGTTTGTTCCCACAATCGCGTTGTGGTAACGAGTTCGTCTGGATCGTTGCTAATTTAAGCGATTCTCGGAAATGGCTGCAAGGATTAGTGCACATGTGTTTCACCTCGTATCTGAGGTTGGATCCTGTAGTAATATATGTATGCACCGTTAAGAGAGCACAGTTTTAGAGAACTGATTGCGCTATCCAGTATAAAAACAAAGTTGGTTTATTTTCATGAACTACTATTTCCAGGCGGATTATTTAAGCGAGACAATTTTAACATCAGCAAAAGGAGGAGATGAGCCCAAGTCGAGCAACAATGATGCTGAAACAAAGTCGAATAACAGCAATGAAGGTGAGTATGATCTTTTAATATGTATGGGAACAGTATGTTGAAATCTATTCTATTTCTTGGTGAAATGAGGAGTAAGGAATTATAAAATAACATGTATATAACGTGTGCTCTGATTGGCCGAAACCCGTGTTTGGATCAGGCCATCCAAACACGGAAATTTAAAGTGCCTTCGCGGGAATTTTAAACCCTGTTGTTATTTTATAAAACAATTACTTTATGGTTTCCGTGTTTGGATGGCCTGATCCAAACACTTGGGAATGTTGCTCGAGTTAAGAAATGCGCGCAAAATCACTCGCTTTCGGCTCATGATTTCGCGCGCTTTTCTTAACTCTCGCAACATTCCCGCGTGTTTGGATCAGGCCATCCAAACACGGAAACCATAAAGTATTTGTATAATACCATCGTTCCTTTCCAAGGATGAAGATCCGCATATAAAACATTGTCTTTTCTCACATGAAACTTTAATGTTTGTCAAGAGCATTTGACATATTTTAATCCAATCTGGAAAACTAGCATCACACTCACTATCTGAGCACAGAATAGATACAGGACCAGAAGTGTCACTCTGACGATATTTTGTCCGAAATTTTACGAGTGCTGACGTGAAAATACGCCATCGTATGACGCCATCCTGGAGTGCACACGGAAGTTTTTCCATAGGAAAACATAGGTACAAAGTGCCGGGTGCACTCCAGGTGGCGTCATAGCACGCAAAAAAATTTCGGACGTTTTCCTTCAGCCAAAACACATAGGAGTGACACTTCTGGTCCGGTATCTATTCTGTGATCTGAGCTTCTTCAAACCTTCAAATACTTGTTGCAATCATGCATGTGTCACGTGATGATGGACAATGCTTTATCTGCGACTTTTTTCTCCATGCATGGAAATGCCAGTAGCTCATGAAACTTAATTTTAGATTCAAGTGAAGGCGAGACTTTGTTTGGTGGTTTATTTGACACACAAGGAGTTGAACAGGAGAATTCTGCAGCAGAAAATGAACCAAAACCGTGGAAAAATGAGGGGAAAATGGTCGTTGCTGAAGCGGTTCGTTGAATCAAGTTTATTGACTTATTTGTGATTGACATATTTCGCTACTCTGGTTGAAGGAAATCTGAATATTTCAACATTCCGGTGTAGTGTCTGCATCAGAGTGGTAATGACGTCATTCCTTGAATATTTGTGTAGAAACGTTGGGTTATGAATGTAATTTGTTCAAGGATTATATGTATAATCCATGAATATATGAATATATAAATATATATTTACTTGAACACCAGAGTAGCGAAATGTGTTTGACACCTCCGATTTTCCGTCATCTCATAAGCTTTGTTCGTGATCATACGCCAAATGACGTTTAGTCTGATGTTACCTTGTTGTTTTCCTAGTATCTGGAGATGTCCAAGACTATTTTAGTGTTCATCAGTGATTATATGTTAAATAACATCAGTCCAAACCTCATGTCTAACATTCAACAAACCTTCCCAACCACACATCTCACTGATCTTGCATCCCTCGTGCTGGAACTGGATGGAGCAAAGACTCACATTGGCACCATCTCCACGTGTTTTTCCTTCAATCAATGTTTAGATCGCTATTTACATATCTTGTTGACTTTTGGTGTGCTCACAGATGAACAGCAGGTACACATAGCCTCGTTTTCATGTTTCCATAAATGAAATTTCATGTTTAAGTCTTAAATTGAATTTGTCGAGGAAAACTTAAAATTAGATTAATTTTCCTTCAAATTTTGCTCTGGGCAAGCAATTTTCATGTCCAACTTACCCTCATGACAAATGGTAAAAATAACTACACCCGCTAGGTGTTCTTGGTTTTCATATGACGTCATGTGGGGGTTAAGGGTCTGTGTCAGGGGTAAAGGACGGCTTTTATATTGTTTTATATTGGCATTTGTAATAGTCAGATAACTCATTTACATAAAATGCGTTTCTTTGTTGTGTTTGTTGTGAAATTATGCTAAAACATCACGTGATTGAAACGCAAGAACAGCCAGAAACATGCTGTGCTTCTATGACACTTGTTTGAAACTTCTTCCTGTTCTTTCCACTCACAGGAAACCATACTAAAGCAGCTTGGTGTTTCACCACATGCCGCTGACCATTGGCCATTGTACATTGGTCCTCGTAGTTTATCAATCTTAGCGCGAGTGCTCCTGGGAAGACAAGAGAGTTGTCGAGAGACTGGGGATGAATGTGATGATGAAAGTTGTGTCAAAACTTGGCAGAGATTGATTCTCACTTTGCGAGAAATGGCTTTCAATGAGAGACGAAGACCCGGTAGGTAGCACGTCATCTTAGTTCTACAGCCTCGCTTTCATGCTTGAGATGTTGGGCTTTAACTAATAGTGACCTTACGATTTAGGACGGAAACGTGACGACAACGCCTACCAATACAATAAATCATTGAAAATAATTGAATAATTACAATATATGAATAATTTAGACATTGTCTTTCGCTCTGTTTACAACACCAAATCACAGATTTTCACGTTTTGATACAACGGCTGCATTTCAAGCCGCAACAAGTGCAACCAACCTCGTTCCCAGGCTCTTCCCTCAACAAGAGGGAAGAGCCTGGGAACGAGGTTGAAGTGCAACTTCAAACTGGGTTCAGCAGAACTCTTCCCAAACATAAAACCCATGTCTTCAACTTCTAAAACTGTATTAAATTCATACGATTGATAATATACCATTTATTTGAAGGAGTTTGTTTTGGCCGACATCGTCGCGTTGCCGTCCTAAAATCGTAAGGTCTCTATTGTCATATACGCGAAAACTAGGCTCTATAGTCAAAGTGACGTAGTTTCCGGAAGGCTGTATTAATTAACCGTACTCATGCCATGCGACCAGTCCTTGTCCACCATCTTTGGTTTGCAAACCACGCGGGGAAAACACACTGCAAGAAGCGAAGAAGTGAATTTAATGAAGTGGAAACACAGTTTACTATTAACTTCACTAAATTACTCCTTTGTTGTCATCCTTTTGTTTTGACACCCAAAATCGGCGGACAAGGCCTGGTCGCATGGCGTGAGAAAGGACAATGGACAACTTGCATGTTAGACTAAATTTTAATCTATTAGTAACGAGAAGGGAGTAAAACATAACAGTTAAAAAGAATATAATGAAATTAGTAAAATTGCAAAATTTGGTTGCGAAATGTTGTAAAATTTGGAAAATATAGCCTTGCGAAGATTGCATATTTTCAGTATATTTGTATTACGTGCGGAAATTGTTACCATTTTCGGCTCAAAAATAGTAACAATTTCCACACGTAATACAAACATACTGAAAATATGCAAACTTCGCAAGGCTATATTTTCTGTATTTTACAACATTTCATAACCAATTTTTGCATTTTTACTGATTTTAATAAGTTCTTTACGGGAATTTACATTTTTTGCCTAAATCAAAAATTAGTCTAACATGCAAGTTGTCTATTCAAATACGATAATTTCCTACTTTATAACTATAACCCGTACAATCCTTGTCCTAACCCTAGCATTACCCCAACTCTAACCATCACACTTACCCTGACTGTAATGTTATCTCTAATCTTTACTCAGTCCTAACTTAATATGAATATTCTGCCTTCACTGAGCTCTATATATTCCCCACAGATCTGAATGTAGAACAACTGCAGTTACTTCTTTTGGTGTGGCATAATTTCACGAAGAAACAACGAGATAAAACCCTGGTGTTATGTATAAATGCTCTATGCGCCATTTCACAAGATCACGAACTGAGTGACAAAATTCCTCTGTATTGCATGAGATTGCTCACTATTCTGGACTACATGCTCTATCAGTATGATGAACCACCACGAGAGCTCTTGACTCAGGTATTTATAACTGGTTTTCGTTCTTTCAATGATAAACAAAGCAGGAGTCTTGAACTGTCTGTGTCAGTGTAGGTTGTGGCAATAATAAGAAAGTTTCTGGTTCCCACAACTTCCGGAAAAATACTTGCAGTTTTCTGTATATCTGTATTAAGGAGGCTCCCTACAGTTGCGTGCGGGATCTTCGCGGGACCAGTAGGTGAACTATCCCACGCAACCACATGATCAAAACAAAACAAAATTTTCTTTTAAAAAAAAAGTTATTTCTGAAAGGTTTCTAATGGGAAAAAGCGTTGAATAATACTTCGTTTTGAGTGCCAAATTACTTGCGAGTCTATACAGCAATTCTACATATGATACGAATACCACTAGACCAAAAAATACCTACGAAACAATGTGTTTTAATATTTTTAAAATATACATTGTCAATTGTAAAACATTTGCAAAATTGCATACAAACGTTTAAAAAGTTGTTTATTTCTCAAGAAAACGTTCACGTTTTTAGTCGTGTTTCTACAAGATTAAAGTGATTATATGTAAACAGAAAAATATTTCGGTTTCATAGCCTAATTGTTCATTTTTAGCAAAAAGTACAAAACCAAACATGAAACAAAAAAAACACATCCACCTGTTAATAGGCTGTTACAGCTCATATATTGAGTAAACGGCAGGATTCAATTAGCTTCAACCTTGTTTTCATCGATTTAATCCTTCACAATAATCCTTGGCTGTCCATAGCACTCAAATAAATCGAAAAGTTGACAAAAACAAAACAGTAAAAACAACATTGCGGCTCGATTTTGCTGAATGAAAACTCGTTCTGCGCCCGCGTACAATCTTTTACTAGTCAGCGACGCTTTTCAATAGGAGAATTTCTCGAGTTACACGAGGCTATTTTCTAACTTTATTTGCATTTTACTCGTTAGTTTCATCGGTGACCTATCTTCAAATTTTGACCACGAATTTATTTTGCGGTAAATTTTATAAATTTCAAATTTTAAAAAAATCTGTAGTGTGGAAATTTCGCAATAAATTTTTCGCTTTTAAAAAAATCACACACTACAGAATTTTTTAAACTTTCACCACAGTTGCAGAGCATCATTCCTTATTGATATATGAAATAAAAAAGATGGGTCACCGACATCGTTTTTGAGATAGCGGCACATTTATGGGTTAAATTGGAAGGCTTTATGCTGTCGTCATGTTGCCATGGGAACATTGACATCGTCGAAATCTAGTTCGAAATATTCCTTAGGTGACCAATTTTGCCACCAAGTCGAAAAAAATTCGCGTTTTGCACGAATAAGCCTGTTTTACGGAATTATTGCTTAAACAAGAATAACTGTAGGGAGCCACCTTAAGAGGCAATTTTTTTCAATGTCACGTATTTGCAATGAAAAGTGTTCAAAACCTAAAATCTTTTTGGCGTTCCTCTCAAAATTACTTTGTTTTAGCTTTATTCTCTAGTTTATACAGTCAGTTAGCTACCATTTTAAATGCATCTGCCGGTTGAAAAACATAAAATAATAGTTAAAAATTGTCAATTAAAATACAATTATCAATGATGCTTTAACAGTGACGTCATATTTACAGCCATATAAGCAAAACTTACTGAACTTCAGACATCATTTTCTCTTTGGCGTATCATCTAAAATCTCTTCATTTTAGCATCATTTTATAGATAAAGCACTAAACATACTTTTTAAGTTTGTTTACCGATTGAGAAACGTATCGAAAAATAAAAAAATTGAATTTAGTTCTAACCTCAAGTGATATATTATACGCATTAGTTTTGAGCGCCTATTACATAACATATAAAAAAATCTCCTTTTAATATACTCTGTAATGTGATTTTTTTTACTAAATTCATCTGAGTGGTTTATTTTTTATCACGTGATCGCTTTTATATTCTTAGTTTAAAAGCTCATGTAATTTTGCGGACCCCCCGCTGGCAACTCCAGACGAATGGCCTTCGCTCGAAACGTCGAAATTCTCCTTATATTGTTCAGGTAGTTGCATCCCTATCAACGAAAGCTTGTTATTATTGCCACTACCTACACTAACAAAGACAGTTGAAGGAGAACTTTGACGTCTTGAGCGAAGGCCCTGCGCTTCGTTTGCTGCTGTTTTGTCACTACCTACGCGGCACACAACCTCGTACCCAGGCTCTTTGCACTACGCTCCTTGCGCGGCACAGAACCTGTTGCTTCTATACAAGTACATGTAACAATCTGTTCCAAGCTAGCAATGCCGTTCTTGCCTAGGCCAAAAAAATATGTGTGTTTCCTATTTCTTCTTGTAAAAACTTAGGTAGGTTTTAACCTTTTTTAAACTTTTTTTTAAATTTTCCTAACAACCGGACGCCATTTTGTTTAGTCAGTGTTTCCACATTCAAAGATAAATTTCCCTAATATTGCCTTAAATTTCCATTTTCCACAAACGTTTTCCTCTAAGTGGAAACACTTACAAGCATGATCCAATAAAAAAGTTTAGGGTCGGGATTTCGGCGTCCAAAACTAGGTAGGGTCGGGAAACCGGAAACCCACATATTTTTTTTTGGCCCTATTGTATTTTATTTTCATCATAATATTTGACATTCCTCCAGGTTCAGTACAATCTGTTCAAGACAAAGTTGAGCTACATGGCCATGCTACATATGGATGATGATATGATGGATGAACCAAGATTAATATTCTTTCCTACAGTCGAGAGAGAAAATCGAGATTACCACAGACCCACAGGGGATCCCTTGGGACACACGTATGAAAAGAGGACACCCAGGTTCTATGGGGTACGCTGTGGGGAACAAAGTGCATTACCTGATGAAATGGTAGGTGAATATGGAAGGTGGAAAGAGTTCATCTGAATAATTCATCCTGTGTTTCAGTGGCGAGCACCTCGCGAAATATTGGGGGGGAGGGGGGGGGCTTTGCGGTCCCTGTTAGTTCTTGAGTAATTCCATGCCATTTCAACACAGGCATGACACCCACCCTCTCCAAATTTCTTTATATTTTGCAGGCAGTTAACACTTTGTGGGAATAGTTTAAGTTCAAAATTTGAGCATCGTAGCTGCAATAGTTTTTGAGATATCGCAATTCGAAATATGGCCCGAAAAGCAAAAAAGTGGGCGTGGCTAGTGCTAAATTCATCATTACCCTATTTTACATTTTGACCTGTAACTTCATATCCATCAAAATTTGCACAAATATGTATTTGTATGTGGAGATTTCAAATATTGCACTTTCATCTTTGTATCTGCAACCAGTAATGTGTTATGGCACAGCAAAGAGTCTAATTATGTGTTTCTGAAGACACGAAATATACATCATCTTTATTGGAAAAATTTTTATTTTTTTATTTCACATCATATCCACATGCTATTCTACTTTTAAGCAAAATTTGGTGATGGTTAGTTGCCTGCTTTAAAAAGTAGAGCCCTTCAAAGTTGTCGTATTTTTTAAATAACTTTAATAGTACGTTTTGGATGTTTGTTAAGAATAAAATACATTTATTGAGAAATGAGACTGCCAAATAGCTTAATGTTTGATTCTATCATTCTTTTTTAATAGTACATTATGTTCTCCAAGAGTAACTGTTATTTCTTGTATCAAATTGCCTTTGATCAAAATCGATGCTGTATATATAGAGATCACTACTGTTTATCCATGAATGTGCATAAGACTTGTTGGTCTTTAGGCTGCAGTTTGTACTGCCTCCCAGTGACTATTGTTCGGAACACCAATGTTAGAAATAATGTTTTCATCCGAAACCCAACAAGTATTAGTGATTGACCAATTATTATCAATTATTCATCCAGTAATCTACCCGATTCTGATTTTCTATGACGTCATAATCCATTTCGAGATTTTAATGATAATTTCCAACGTAACATGTTACTAGTAGCAGCCAAAGTTTGTTAAACCTGTACATAAATGACACACTTCACGTGTTATTTCGTCGCGGCAACGGTTTGCTCCACACCTACTATGCAACACGCTACCGTTCGCGCAAGAGATTAAACAGTTGTTGTTTTCACATAAAAAAGTGCATTCAACGTGTATCACCGCGTAATATATATGATTTTTAAAGTGCGTATTTTCTCAACAATCGGTTTACACAATCGGAAAATACAAAATATTCTACAGATTCCGATTGTCTACCGATAAGCAAAAATCGGGGATTCCGATTATATATTTTTTTATTAAAAACATCTTGTAACACGATAGCTAATCAACTAAAAAAATATTAGCAAGGTTGTCGTTACTTTTCACTAGGCCGTGTACTTACAGACAGTATAAGAGATTCCCATGCACCCACCCTCCCCGAATCACCCAAATAATATTAGAAAGACATTCAAAGTTTATTATTCACTCCAACCCAACCCAGATAAAATTATATAAAAATTTTATTTCTTTCATTCAAACTTTAGCGGCAGCATAACCGAAAGTTCGTTTCATTGAATTTGTTTTTGGCTTCAACAACATCAACTTATTTTTGTTATTTTTTAATTCATATCGATCTGAATTATATAGTTTAAACATGTCCGAAATGTTATCGTGAAATTGACATGTAAGTGCTTTTGATACATATTTTAGTTGTTGCTCCGTCCTTCTTTCACCTAACGTTTTCCAATCTAGTTTCTTTAAAATATCTATGGAGCTTATTTCATATGAATCACCCGTAATAACTTTTGCAGCTCAGTTTTGGAGTTTCTGAAGATTGCCTCTTAAAGATTCGCCACAGTTACCCCAAATCATCGAGCAGTAATCAAAGTGTGGTTGGACTAAAGCTCGATAACGATGTTTAAGAGTTTCCGTTGAAACGTATGGCTGACACGAGTATACGACGCAATTATCGGTCAATCGCTAACAAGTATCCTCCTACTGGCCAGAAATATGATCTTGCGATGCACTTTGGGTGCATAAACCTTATTAATTTTTGCATTTCTTTGATCATTGTCAACTTCTTCAATCAAATCAAGCCATTTTTCATCATCTTACAAGCATACAATAAAAGAGTTCACTGAAAGTACAATTGATTCACGAGCAGGGGTAGATAAGAAATAAATTGTATTGCATACTTTTGATCCATTGATATTCTTTTTGTGTATGTACTATTAATAAATATGTAATTTTAAACTTTTAAAACAAATTTTAAATATGCACTATCAATAAAGAAGGATCGAATGAAAAATTAAGGTATTTGGCAGTCTCATTTCTCAATAAATGTATTTTATTCTTAACAAACATCCAAAACGTACTATTAAAGTTATTTAAAAAATACGACAACTTTGAAGGGCTCTACTTTTTAAAGCAGGCAACTAACCATCACCAAATTTTGCTTAAAAGTAGAATAGCATGTGGATATGATGTGGAATAAAAATTACTGTTGTGTCTGTATGGCTTCCATAAAAATTTTTCCAATAAATATGACGTATATTTCGTGTCTTCAGAAACACATAATTAGACTCTTTGCTGTGCCATAACACATTACTGGTTGCAGATACAAAGATGAAAGTGCAATATTTGAAATCTCCACATACAAATACATATTTGTGCAAATTTTGATGGATATACCATGTACGGGTATGAAGTTACAGGTCAAAATGTAAAATAGGGTAATGATGAATTTAGCACTAGCCACGCCCACTTTTTTGCTTTTCGGGCCATATTTCGAATTGCGATATCTCAAAAACTATTGCAGCTACGATGCTCAAATTTTGAACTTAAACTATTCCCACAAAGTGTTAACTGCCTGCAAAATATAAAGAAATTTGGAGAGGGTGGGTGTCAAATCAGTTTTTTTTGTGTTGAAATGGTATGGAATTACTCTCTTTTAACTTTTTTTGCCTTAATATTTTTTAGTTCAAACATGTGTTATTGATCCTGGATAAAGAGAGCACCTCGTATTCGTATTTCTACACAAGTCTCATCAGCTTACTCAGTGCTGGCTCAAGATGCGATGTCTTGAAGCGACAAAAATCAAAATTTGTCAACCTGTCGGATGCGAAAATTGTTCGCTGTTTGTTTGGCATGTGCTGGAGATTGTTGCTGTCTCTACCGCCACCCGTCTCATTTTTATCTGGACTGCAACAAAACCAAGCTATTGAACTGAAGGTAAGTTATGAAACCCGTGTTGATGACACAGTGCATGTGATCTGATCCTCTGCGACCAGAGGTCCATTCCTGCATTATACAGTCATCTGATGATAGTACCACTTCAGTCACTTGTGAGAAGAGTGCTTCCGGTGTCACTCTAACAAACACTGCAGGTTTCGTTAAGGTACTCTGGTTTCTCCAATAAGATGGCTTCACTGGACCTCTAAGAAGAACAGTTAGGAATCATAGATATGAGATATCTATGTTTAGAACTGATATAGCTATCCAGTGTAAGATTTAGTTTAAGAGGAGATTTTTTTGTATATGTTACGTAACACGCGCTCAAGACTAATGCGTATAAATATATCACTTGAGGTTATGACTAAATTCCAAATTTTTATTTTTCGATACGTTTCTCAATCGGCAAACAAACTTAAAAACTATGTTTAGTGCTTTATCTGTAAAATAATGCTAAAATGAAGAGATTTTAGATGATACGCCAAAGAGAAAATCATGTCTGAAGTTCGGTGAGTTTTGCTTATGTGGCTGTAAATATGGCGTCAAATTTAAAGCATCATTGATAATTGTATTTTAATTGACAATTTTTAACTATTATTTTATGTTTCTCAACCGACAGATGCGTTTAAAAAGATAGCTAACTCTATAAACTAGAGAATAAAGCTAAAACAAAGTAATTTTGAGAGGAACGCCAAAAAGATTTTAGGTCTTGAACAATTTTCATTGCAAATACGTGACATTGAAAAGAATTGTCTCTTAATAATTTAAAGTCGTTGTGATTTACATACAGTATGTTGAATTCGTTTTCTCTGCAGAATGTTGGAGATTTTGTAACAGTTCTTGTTACGCTTTACTGGGCAACGAAATTATCAAACACAGACGATCAATCCGCTATCAAGGTCAGTGTGATGAGATCTTGAGTTTTTCAAAGACTTCAAACTCGTGCATGTTTTCCCAAATTGCCCTCGAAACAATATACTATTACCTATACAAATTATTAAGTAAAAATCTGTTTATTTAGAATGCTCTGCAAGAACAAAACATGTCAGCTGATGACATTCTTCCACTGACATCGGATTTATTCAGCACAACTTGTGATGACGTACAAACTATCAAACATGCTTCCACTTATTTACAACAGGTTCGTCTAAATTTCATTTTCCTGCGGGACAATATTAAACTGTTAAAGTCTCAACTTTAGTGTATGCTGTCGTCTCCGTTCTGAAGTTCGATTCCTTTAAAGTGTATATGAAATGAAATTTCTTATTTTCTTAAATGAAAGAACCCTTTAAGCTGTAGTGCAACTTATTTTCAGTTTCTTGTTTTTATGGTTTGTTCCCGAGACATTTCAATTTGTTTGATATGTAAATGAGTGTGAATATGTCCACTAATTTATGACGTCATGTTGGTTGCAAGCTCTTTAAAATGGTTGAATATCACTGCTATCATCCAAGATGATAATTTCAAACTTCGCTCACTGGTAAATGTGATGAAACACGGGAGAAAAACGTGAACAGATATCTACAGTTTTTAGAGTTAATACATTTATAACCAGTGTAAGTTGAGCTTGCAACCAACATGACGTCATAAATTAGCGGACATATTCACACTCATTTACATATCAAACAAATTGAAATATCTCGGGAACAAACCATAAAAACAAGAAACTGAAAAATAAGTTACACTACAACTTAAAGAGTTCTTTCATTTAAGAAAATAAGAAATTTCATGTCATATACACTTTAAGTTTAGTTTATCAAAACCTCGCCTTAACTTGAGCAGTTTGATGAAAACGTAAGTTCTTTGTTTGTTCAATTTCTAGATATTGGATCATTTCACGCACAGCGAGGAAGTGTTGAGTCCAGACCAGCTCCCAGGCCTCCTCACTCTCATGACGGTTGACTGTATTCTGACTAGAATATCAATTGTCTTGACACCCAACTTAGAAATGGAGGAGGAAGCCGTCATGGTCGAGATTGAAAAATTATTTCCTGTTGTGTTGAAACTTGTGAAAGCTTACCAAGGCTTTGCAAGGTACGAGGATTGTCTACACTTTATTAAATTAAAGTTGTCATGTTTACATGTAACACAGTAACACATGTAACACATAGTAACACATAGTAACACGTGATCTTTTGTGTTTAGATTCAGTTTGTTGTCTCATCACAATGTATTGAGCAAAGTTCGTGATCAGGATGTTGCAATATATTCAAAAGTCATCAGAATATCTTCATCTGCTATGGCAAAGAATCCGGTTCTAGCTGGTCCAGTTATCACAGGTATAAATATTTAACAATTATTCGCCGAAGGCGAGGTGATTATCGGGGGTTTCCTCCTGTAGTAAGACTGGATCAATAAAAGATGATCCTTACTGGACCTCTAGGAAGAACAGTTTAAAACTGATAGAGCTATCCAGTATAAATAAAGGTAGTTTAGTTATTGACTAGTTAATCTAAAAGCGTCACCGTGCATGTTTAGTTTTATCATGTGACCAAAATGAGGTATGATGATTGGCTGAGAAGTTATTGTTTCCTCCACAGGTCTCCCAATCCCGCTGGAAGAGATCAAACAATGGAATAATCTTGGTTCAGTCGATTTTAATCCTCAGTTTTCTCCAGAAGACATTATCAATGAGGGCATATCAGACCCAACTCAAATGATCCACACGCTACTCTCCTCACATATGAAAGTCATGTCCTTCAGATTCCCATTCAGTGTCGACGCATCCATCAGACATGTCATGAAATCTCTTGTTCAGCTGACTGCGAGTTTACTGTCGTGAGTTGAAGTATTTTCTAGCTGTGGTGTTGTAGTTCTTGCTATGAAAGTTGAGCCAATGGGTGATCCCAGCAAGAGACTAAGTTTTGAGCAAGGGAAGAAGAACGAAATTCAACACCACAGTTAGAAAGAGCGTCTTAGAATGAGTAAAATTGTAAAATGAAGAAAATATAGCCCTGTGATGCTCGCAACTTTTGTATATATTTGTATTACGCGCGGTAAAAATAACCACTTTCAGCTCAAAAATGGTTATTTTTCCCGCGCGTAATGCATATATAAACAGAATTTGCGAACTTCACAGGGCTATATTTTCCTCATTTTACAACAATTCGCAACCAAACTTAGCAATTTTACTCAGTTTAAGATGTTTTTTTCCAGCTATGGTATAATGGATTTCGTTCCTCTTGTCTAGATCAAAATTTCCTCTATGGCCAGAATCATTCATTGTAATAATAATTTTACTTGTGTGTTTAGTAACTATCCCAAAAAAGAAGGATCGCTGCATTTGGTATTTACAAAAGAAATCTCAGAGGCCATCACCCCCCTGGTCGTGGACGCCTCAGCTGAGTTCTTGTTTGATGAAACAGAGAATATCGTCGAGAATGTTTTTGGATCTTTGGATAACGAAGAATGTTGCAACCAAATTCAGAATTATCTGTTGGAAAATTGCTATGATTTGATAATTGAACACAGCTTGTCCCAAGAGTAAGTTCTGTAATTATTTTATTTTATTTACAAGTTTGCCATTGCAATAGATCTATATAGAGTACTATGGTTACAAATGACTGGAATTTCCACACAGAGATAGTTTTTTTGTTTGAAGAGCATCGGCGCAGATGAGCTCAGTGTGTTATTCTTTACTTGATTGAGTTAACTTTCCTGCCCTTCGAAACTCGTGCAAAAATAGATTTGAGGTTTGACCATTTTTCTTTGAGTACTCATTCTTCCTCCTCACCAAACAGTAATGCTTCCATCTTAATTATGCTCCATGACCAGAGATAGGTTGTATAGTGGCAGCCAGAAACCTGTGACTCAGCGTAGACCTAGGACCTCGACTGCTTTCACAGTTTTGGTTGATTTTGGGTTAGCATTTTGTAAGTATGACGTCGCCTGCGAAATAAAAGCGTCCTTGCTCCGCCCGCCTCTAAACAGCCTGGATCCCCGTCTTGTCAAGTGAACTGAAAAAGCGCTAGGTCTAGGCTTGCTTTGACTCAGGTTTGAACCGTTTTCTTCGTTAAGTCCATTTTCCACTAAGCGAATTTTTTCGCTGACCAATCACATTGCCAAGATTTCGCTCTCAGCTGCAAAGACGTGTAGCCTTGACCTTTCTTACTAATTGTTCCTGCACATATATTTCCTTACAGGCCAGTGTTATGTGAAGATATATTTGTTGATTGTGAAAGATTCATGGAAAGTTTATTGGAGCGAGCTGAAGGGAGATCCACATTAAAGAATTTCTTTGAAGATAATGATAAATTCGTTCGTCTGTTTCTTTTGTCTGCAAATCAGAATTTCTCTCTTTCGTTTGTTTATCGAATGTTGAAATTTGTCTCTCGTACTCTCGAAACGTGTAAGTATTACTATTTATGTTGGTCGTTGAAGAACATTTCTTGCTGTTTTGTTTTTTCCCATTATCTTGTCGTGTTACAGAACAATCATGGCCTCACTCGTGTTCGGCTACTCCAGTCCGATTCATGTCGTCCATTTTCATTAATCTTAGTGTTCACTTTTCTTTAGATGAAAAGCAACCCAATGATCCCACAGCCCAAGGACTGGTCCAGTCAATTTCCAAGATCAGTGAGGTTGACTCATCCTTGCTCACGACATGGTTAAACAGAATTATAGTGGGCAGTGTGACAGATAAGGAAATGACAGGAAAAATGGCTGACAATCGTCTATTACTTCAGTCTATTGTATCATTTCTTGTCAAAGAACAAAGGTAAAACATGATAATCCTGTTGGAATGTTGATAGCGTTGTGGTTAATGTAGAGCTTAGTGTAGGTTTCCTCCTGTAGTAACACCGGGTCAATAAGAGATGATCCTTACTGGACCTCTAGGAAGAACAGTTTAGAACTGATAGAGCTACCCAGTGTTAGTTTCGTTTTATGATATGATAATCTTTCGTCTTTTATTTAGTGCTGTAAGCAGCGCAGCGATCGAGACATTACTAGATGCAATCATTCCTTTGGGAACACTGCTTCTGAATATGGCGACAGATGTATCTGTGGTGATCGGATCAAAGTTTGTGGATTTTCTTTCAATTTCCTCCACTGTGGCTGGCTATGGTGATGGAAGTGGTCATATCAAATTAATGCAAGCTGTTGTCACGTGGTTACAAACTTGGTATGGCTTTTATGTTATTCATAGTTTGTTTGGAAGTTGCTTGCATAAGAACAGCTGTCTGTCTGTCTGTCTGTCTGTTTACTTTAGTTGAAGAGACTTTTGTCTCAAGTTGTGTCAGTATTAGCGTAGGTTAAAGTTTGGATTTGGATTAGAGTTAGTTCATCAGAGTTAGGGCCAGAGTTAGTTGGGTTGGGGTGGGGTGGGGTTTGGTGGAATTGGGTGGGGGGGGGGGGGGGGGGTTAAGTTACTTAGGATTAGAGTTGGAGTTAAGTTTCGGGGTTAGGTAAGATGTGGGGTTAGGTTGAAGGCTGGAAATGTAAAACCGAGGGGATGTTAATTGATTCCTTGTATTGCAGCAAATCTGACTTGAATCCAAACTTAATCGGAGATGGCAAAGCAAAAGACAACACAAACAGTTTGGTGGAATGTACCAACGTCTTGCTGGCTCATGTTGCTGACGTGTTGGTTGTGTTGAAACAGACAGATGATGACGACATCTGTAGTGGTAGCCATGGTGATGATCACGTCGTGAGTGATATTGAATCAGATGGTGTTGATGATGATGATGATTCTGGAGCAGAGGAATCTGTAAGTTATGAACATAGTCCCTTGAACAGAGGTTCACCCTTACTGGAGTAAGTTTACACGTAGTGGAGGTTTACCCTTACTGGAGTAAGTGGAGTAGATGTTCACCATTTGTCTTTCACGTGTGTGACCAGAGTTAGATTCCTGAAATATGCAATTGTCTGATTGTAACTTCTACCTTCTTGTTCTGACTAAGTTTGATGGTTTTCGCTGCAGGAGGAAGACGTGGAACAACTATGGAACAAACTTTGTACATTCACAACAACAAGAAAAGAATTTGCCAACCAACATTGGTATCACTGTCACACATGTCGCATGAATGATGGCGTGGGAGTTTGCACTGTCTGCGCTAAAGTATGTCATAAGAATCATGACGTCACCTATGCCAAATATGGATCTTTCTTCTGTGACTGTGGCGCCAAGGAAGATGATAGTTGTAAGGTAGGGACTGGATACTAGCCAAGGTTTTAGAAAGATGTTAATGGTGAAATAATACGACAAACCATCCAAGAACTTAGAATAACATGATCTATACTGGCTAGGGTACTGGGAACAAACGATGATCAAACAGGTCATCTTCCATTACATACTATGTCTGTTTACTGTATTTACATACTACTTATTATATGTCCATGCCATCTGATCCTGCTTCTCTCGACTTCTCTGCAATGTCTACCCACATCTTGTGATTATATGATTGGATATACAGGTCAATTATCAGATTAAGTCCTTGAAATGAATATACTGGAACGCTACCTTCAGCTAAACTGCCAATTTCTTGAAGCCAAATCTGACCTGCACACACACATGTCATGATTGACTGGTGATAGCTCTTCGCATGCGTGAAAAGACTGGGAATAGCCTTCAAGTTTGTCTTCAGATTTCCAGTTGGTGGAATTCCAGTTATGTTCATTTCAATGGATAAACAATCTATTCTTTGCCCAACGTCTGAAAATGTCAGATCATCCATCTCTAGTATGAGTGAGGCTGATCGTTCTGCAAAATGATGTATTGACATGTTATTTCAGGCCATGAAGAAACGAAATCCCCATGACATCTCAGACATGGCAAGTCCTGATGAGAAAATCTCTGCAGTCAGCAGTTATCGTCTTCTACCCCAACTCCGTATTGAACGTGTTGTGTCTGCCGAGGCGAAGTCCGAAGATGTTGAGAAGAATAAAGAAAAATCAAGCTATGAGTTCGGTCAACCTGCATTCAGACGAGATCTTAGAAAACAAATTGAGGTAGGACTGTTTGCTGTATTCGTGTTCCAGGGCAGCAGACGGTGCTCAAAAACATTCATCCTTTTACCTGCAAGAAAGTAAGGCAGATCTCTTTATTCTATTTATTGCCTACAAATGCAAGACTACTCCATCTAGTGATGCTTGTGATGTTACTCTGAGTGTGTATCCACACCGGGCAAGCTTGAAAAATATGCCTGACCACGGTGGGAATCGAACCTACGACCTTTGGAATACTAGCCCAATGCTCTGCCCAAATCGATTCCCACCGTGGTCAGGCATATTTTTCAAGCTTGCCCGGTGTGGATACACACTCAGAGTAACATCACAAGCATCATATTCACCTGAGTACATTACACCAACACAGAAAAAATCATGATTACTCCATCTAATGTTATGAACATTATTTCCTCACTCTGATAACTGCAGGTTGACCACCATCTGCTGTATCATAGTCCTTAGTGAAATCCGTCTCCATGAACTTTATTTTTTTTTTTGTTAATTGTTTATTCTAATTTTTAACCACTATATTTTCTCCACTAGGCGAACAAGAAACCGCTGGTCAAAGTAATCACAGACAATGACATGTGCCAGACACTGCTCACCTTACTCAATACCTTATCACGTATCAGTAACTATGGTAACCAAGTTGTAGGTGGCGCAAGACAAAGAATCACTGAAGCCTTAGACGATCTCCACACCAGCGAGAAAGCTGTGGAAAATAATGAACAATTACTGGTTAGTCATATAACTTTATTTATACTGGATAGCTCTGCCAGTTCCAAACTGTTCTTCCGTCCTAGAGATTCAGTAAGGATCATCTCTTATTGATCCAGTGTTACTACAGGAGGAAACCTAAACTAAACTAACTTTATTTACACTGGATAGCTCTATCAGTTCTAAACTGTTCTTCCTAGAGGTCCAGTAAGAGTCATCTCTTATTCATCCAGTGTTACTACAGGAGGTAACCTAAACTAAACTAACTTTATTTACACTGGATAGCTCTATCAGTTCTAAACTGTTCTCCCTAGAGATTCCGTAAGCAGCATCTCTTATTGACCCAGTGTTACTACAGGAGGAAACCTAAACTAACTTTGATTATGCTGGATAGCTCTATCAGTAAGGACCATCTCTTCTTGATCCAGTGTGAGTGCAGGATGAAACCTCTGAATTGTTCTCCAATGAAGTTTAGCGAAGACGATCGCGTAATAAGACTATTTAAAAAAGAACTTCCATTTCCAGGTGCCGACATCAGGTTCACAAGAAGGGGCGTTCGAGAATGTTAAGTTAGTCTGCAGTGGTGAACAAGGTCAATCTATCCGCCAGTTGATTGGGACACATGTTTTACGTCGTGTTGCCATGTGTTGCTTAACATCGGCCAAAGGACGAAGACAACATTTAGCTGTCAGTCATGAGAAAGGAAAGGTAAACCTAAACATTAGAAATTGTCTTCTGATCTTGAAAAACCTAAACATTAGAAATTGTCTTCTGATCTTGAAAAACCTAAACATTAGAAATTGTCTTCTGATCTTGAAAAACCTAAACATTAGAAATTTTCTTCTGATCTTTTCATTCCCTAATGTTTCTGACCAGCTCTCCTTCATCTCTTCTTACTACGTGTCCATGCCCTCTCAGAGTGCAATAATTTCCCCCATGCAAAACGATCATTAAAATATCTAATTATTGTTTCATTTCAGATAACAATTCTTCAACTATCTTCATTGCTTAAACAAGCTGACTCAAGCCGTCGTAAACTGACTATAACACGTCTGGCCACAACCCAAGTTCCTTTCACCATCCTTTCTTTAACTGGCAACATCTGCAATGAGGATTTTCTTGCTGTCTCTGGTCTCAAAGATTGTCATGTCTTGACATTGAGTGGCACTGGCTCTGTTATCAATCACCTCGTCTTACATCCGCAGTTGGAGACTGGGAATTTCATTATCAAGACAATATGGCTTCCGGGTTCTCAGACCGAACTCGCTATTGTTACAGCCGATTTTGTGCAGGTATGTTGTTACTCAGTTTTGTATAAGGCTGGTGTCTGAACTACGTAACTACAAACTTTGCTGCTCTGTACCGCTGGATCCCATGTTTGATTTTCACATTTTATTCACATGTTATATTCACAGATTTACGACTTGGCTAAAGATGCTCTTAGTCCAGTATTCTATTTCGTGCTGCCGGCGGGCAAGATTCGTGACGTCACGTTTATATTTCAATCATCATTGCGTCATTTGTGTCTGATGTCATCCGAAGGACTGGTCTATACACAACAACTGGATGAATCAAGCTCAGCCAAATCAGGACCATTTTACCTGACGAACATTGTGCCTGTCGATCACCCGGAGTTGAAAGATAACAATGGTCAAGTTGCTGGAGGTGGCGTCTCCGTTTATTATTCTCATGGGTTGCAGATGCTTTTCTTTAGCTATGCACAAGGTATGTTAGACCAGAATCTTGAAATGTCTTTGCCAGTGTGGGTAATGGCAATCAAATAAACAAGCTTTCGTTGATAGGGATGCAACTACCTGAAAAATATAAGAAGAATTTCGACGTTTCGAGCGAAGACCTTTTGTCTGGAGTTACTAGTGGGGGGTCGGGAAAATTACATGAGCAGATGAATTTAGTCAAAACAAAGTATAAACAAAAAATGTAAATCACATTACAGAATATATTAATACGAATATACAAAATACTACAACAAATGCAACAAAATATATGAAACAAGTATGGAATAAGGTAAGAATTAAAAGTACTATCAATGTCTGCTTTTGACAGGCAAAGACAGACCGGGTTAAACATAGGAAAAACGTTCGTTAGTTAGACCATAGTTGACCTAGGGCTGGGTTGCACCAAGCACTGCTTTCGTTGCTAGAGATGCAACTCTCTGGAAAATACAAGAAATTCTTTTTGGTAGTTGCACCCCCTACCTAGGAAGGTTTGGTGATCATTGGGACTACCTACATTGGCACAGACAAGATTATTTACTAAACACTATCGTGCAACAGATGGTGGCCAACTGGCACTCATCATAATGAGACAATAATTAACAATTATTCGCCGAAGGCGAGGTGATTATCGGTGAATAAAAACCGAGACGAAGTCCAGGCCATAAAATATCGGTCGGTCACGGACATTGTCCGACCCATTCGTCCAATTGTCCGACGTAGAGAGGAAACCACCGGACATTCTGTCCGACCTAAATGAAACTGAAGTTTATTATGTGTCCGACCCGAATGAATTGGTGTCTGACCGAACTGTAGCTTTGTCCGACGCTTTCTCCACGCACGTAAATCAAAATGTACCCTAGTCCAATACTAGAAGCTCGTATGTTATAGTGGAGAAACAGAGTATTGTACAAAAATGAACCGGAAATGTTGGAAAACGTGCTTAAGTTGTCGAAGTCGTACTGCTATTATTGGCAAGCAAGTTAATCTTGACTTGGAAATAAGTATGAATGACACAAATTATTTAAATATCTTCATAACATTTAGTTCAGAATTAATATATTGTGCTGATATTGATTTGCGTCATTCAGACTTATTTCCAAGACAAACTGAACTGAAGGTCATCGGACATATGTCCGACCTAAACTCAAAGTCATCGGACATTTTGTCAGACGGCGTTGTAAAAGATATTTTAAGGCCTGGAAGTCGAGGTTTTTATTCACGATAATCACCGAGCCTGAGGTGAATAATTGTTTTAGTATAATTTTATAGGTGATTATATGGAAAAAATAAAAAAATACACATTTCTTCGTCATTTAATTGACAAAAAGGCTTCGGCCGCCATTTTGAAAATCGCTTAGGTGATTATCGCGTAATAATCACCTCAACGGCAACCAATCAGCGTGGAGAATTTTCAATAATCACCTATGTAATTATACTAATGTTAATTATTGTTATTCTATGTAGTAGTATGGCATCTCTTTTACTTGTTGACACTGATTTTTACATTTTGATCTTTGTTTCTGTGTAGGGAATACATTCGTTGCACCTTGGACTGAAAATCTCTCAAGCATTAAAAACTTATTCCCAATCGATACAAAACCAACAAATGGCAACAAAAGTGCGCCTTCAACCTTATGGCAGTGGTCAGAGGTTCTTCAACATCCTGGCCTTGTGTTTTGTCAAACTCATACCGCTGGCATACCCATTGTATTGATGGTGAAACCAGGCAATATTTCGGTAAGTAACGCAGTTTTTCTCGGCAACTCTGAATTCGTCCTTTAGTAACACTGACAGAGCCTTACTAGACCTCTAGATAATGTTTTCTCTGCTTGTAGTTTCAAGAAATCAAATCTGCGTCGTCTAAATCCAAGATTCAAGATGTAGCAGCAATACGTCACAGTCTGTCTAATTCCGACCAGTCTCGGACGACAGTCATCTTGCTCTGTGAAGATGGAAGTCTCAAGATTTATATGGCGAGTCAAGAACAAGCTGGTTTCTGGATGTCTCCCGCATTTCAACCAACAAGGTCAGCGCATAGTCGAATAAGAAGATAGGAAACTCGATGCAGACATGTTTTTCTCTTGGTTTATGCAAGAAATGGCGGTTCATCAATGGTCGGTGTATTGTATTTTTGCTAAAGCAACCAATAGCTATGTTTTCATTTAACCATTGTGTAATATCAGGACTGGGTAATTAAACCAACACACTGCTATGGGTTGGTTGGGCGAATAAACAATACACACGTGACGATGAACCGACCATTTTTTGCATAAACCAAGACAAAAACATAGATAACGAGGTCTATTATGTCTGCATTGAGTTCCCTAGCCTTGTTCTATTGACTATAGTCAGGGTTAAGATTGGGTTAGGATAAGGACTTGGGTCATGTTTAGACTTAAGGTTGAGGCTTGAGTTATGGCACAGATTAAGTATGGACCAGATGTGTAACTTCAGCAAAAAAGTTGTCCCACGGTCGCCATCTTCCTAGCAAGTGTTATGTACAGCTTAAATTTGAGTACACGAAGTCGTATTAAGTTAGACATCTGGTCATACTTAATCCGTGGTTATGACTAGGATTAGGATGGTAAATATATTGTATTTAACTTGCGATTTTTGACTTGAAAGTTCACCCAAATGTTTGTGTTTCCACAGTGCTGTGGCGGCTCTTAAACCAATCAAGCCACGAAAATTGAAGAAAAATGTGCGTATAAAGACATCCAGCTCGCCACATTTTCCTATCGACTTCTTTGAAAATTGTCAAGTATTGAACGATGTGCAGTTCGGTGGTAAAGATATCTTGCAAGTTTATAATGTTCAACAAGTCAAGCACAGGTTAATGACCGCTGGGATGTACATCGCTTGCACCAAGGTAAATATTGATGAAAACTAACAGGTGTAGTTCTTGGACACTGTTTGATTTCATGTAATGTAAAAGCTATCGCAATGAAATAACGATCATTGCATTCAGAAAGGACTAACTTAGATTTTGATACATAACACTTGAATTTACATGCAATATTGAGCGAGAAACAACCAAAATAAAAATATTTGTTATTTAACAAGTATAACTACATCTGTAATTATAAGGTTTTTTATGCTAGTTTTTGGCATTTTCAAAAACAGTAGTTTAACGTTCAAACATCACCAGCGCAGTCAATATTGCATGTTAATTCAGTGTTATATATCAAAATCTAAGTTTACTTAGTCCTTTCTGAATGCAATGATCTTTATTCCATTGCGATAGCTTTTATAGCTTTTACGTTACATGAAATCAAACAGTGTCCAGTAAGAACCCGGTAGAACCTTTATCCACTCATGGTAAGAGTTAACACGCAAGCTGGCTGCGAGTACGTTTATCCAATCACAATGCTCGACAGTTTATGTCAGTTAGATGCAAGTATTCGCAGTGAGCTTGCGAGTTGGTTTTGGCAATGAGTGGAAAAGATCTGTAAGACACCTACCACCAGAGGCTCAGAAGTTTAATAATTTAATTTGCTGTAACAAGCACCATCCTTTCTTTAGTCGAACAGTTTCTCGATGACAGTAAAAAACTGCAACCCTGCAGTGGTGATGGTTGGTGTGCGTGTCTTGGTTGGATGTCAAGCTATTGATAAAGCTCCGACATTCTTGGAAGTATTTGGTCGTGCCATTGACATTGAGATAAAGCGAAACAGATGGTTTGATATTGCTTTCGCTAGAGAAGAAATTCTTGCTACTGATGGGACAATTACACTCACATGTAAGAAATGCTTGGGTACTCTGATGATCCTCTGTTGTATGACTCTTACTTGACCTCTAGGAAGAACAGTTTAGAACTAGTAGAACCATCAAGTCTAATTGTAATTGAGTTTATATTTTCTCCTGTAGTAACACTGGACCAATATTGGATACCCTTTACTGGGAGAACAGCTCAGAAAACATCCATTATAAGAGAGTTAGATTAGGTTTCCTTTCGTTCAATTCCTTATCTTTTTAGTCGGTCAATCCCATGATGCCAGCAACGTGACAATGATTGACTCCATCAAGGTGTACTATAAAAGTAAAGAAGCATTTGGTTGGCCAGATGACCTGCAAGAAGAGGGTATACCCCCACCTACCCCCACGCCTTCAACTGCCCCACCTATCAGTCCATTTACTCAGAACTCTGAAGTCATAACCAGTACCGCTCCACTATCTTTGAGAGAAATGTAAGTTATATAATACATGCAGATTTTCTCAACAGTTTATTTTTAAAAACATTTACTTACATTATACTAAAATAAGCTAACAGAAAACGCTAGAAAATGTGTTCCATCCACGTTCCATTTGCTTGTATTTATTTTGATTGTTGTGTTCTAGAATGACAGCAAACTCTTTGCGAGCTTTGGATGGTTTTGTGTCTCTTGTAACAGATGAAGAAAATGGCTACCAGGAAATTGTGACAATAGCAACATCACTTTTATCGTCACCACTGCCTCAGCAGGTTCAAGAACAAGCCAAGATGTTGCTCGCTTCATTACATCCTACCAAGAACACTTATAACAATCACAAGGTTCGTCCAGCTTGCTTTGGAAGGCTGTATTGACAGTCACGCATTGGTACAGGGAACATTTCAAACTCTAGACTAACAAAATAAAGGCTTGATGAGTGTTCAAACTATGTTTTAAATTTAATGAAATACATGATAGTGTTGGGAAAGCATTAAGTCTGTAAAGAACAGCTAACCAAGGTCACGTGACTGCCAACTCTCACGCACTCTCATTCTGACCACAGAGAAGAGATATACAGTGAGGAAACACGCGGCAAATTGTGTCACGCCGATATATTCGGTCTATTAACTATAGAAAATTATATTAATTCACTATTTTATTAAATTTTGACAATGCAGAGGAAAAACTATACGTATTATAGAAGTATTCATGTTTTTTTTATGCGAGAGTTATATTTTGAGAATTTATATCATTTGCTGCTTTGTTTTTTATATACGAGCATCTGAAATTCCCCAGCCAGTGCTTTTCACGATTTTAATAAGGAGTAGATAGGGGGAAAAACAAACTTTTGCAAAATAAAATGTTCTGTTAACACTTTTAATAAAAAGAAATCAATAAAAGTGATCGCTTACCGTTATTCTACAATAATTTATTGAACAAAATTTCCATGGGTATCTCATTTTTTAAAAGAAAGCGATTTTCACCTTTCGAACGGCGTTTTCCCTATCTTTTGCTATGAAATTTCAGCGACGGCACTGGCTGGAAGATTTTGCGTGGCGCGTGGAACGCGTGACAAAAATTCAGGTTATCGAGTGTCAGTTTCCTCTCTGTATATCTCTTCTCTGTGTCCTGACTGAGGTAGGATTAAAAAAAGTTTAGATTCTGCGGACCAGTGAAGATTAGTATTAGGATATGGATTTAAGTTTCTGTGGTAAGAGCTAGGGTTTGGTTTCTGATCAGGATTGTGGTTAGTGTTGGGATTCTAAGGGTTGGCATTGTTAATTGAGCCATGTTTTATTTGCTACTCCTAGGACCATGCGCAGTTGACGTATGTTGTGAAGAGTCTTTACAAGAAGACATCCTCTCCAGATGAAATAGATCCTGAAGTATTTGAAAGAGTTGTTGTAATGACCAGAGCTGTGGCGGTCAATAGACCTGAAAATTTAGTCAAGTTTGTCAACGAATTAACAGAAAACCTCGATTCAGCTGGAGTACCGTTCCCAATGAAGATTGTTTCAACTTTCTGGCGATTTTATCAAACACAGCCTAGTAATTTATCACTGGTTACTGCGGCACACTCTGGCATACATTATACAGAAATGATTATATTTGCCTTGGTTGAAATACTCCATGCATTTATTGTGACTGACAGCTCGTATGTTTCCATGATTACTGAACTATATGTTCAACTGCTGCTATGTCTGGTGAGTGCGTCGTTGGCTAATGAAATATCCAGTAGAAATAAGGTTAAAGATTACTTCCGTAGTAACGCTGGACCAATAGCTGAGTTTCAATCACCTGATACGTTTAACGCTTGGTGAGTCGACTCCAATGGACCTTTAACCTCGTAACTAAAATTTTGATCCAGACAAGAAGCTTGCAATTTTCAGTCATTTTAGATTACAAACGGGAAATTGATACCCAAACACCCGATTTGGGTATCAATTTCCCGTTTGTAATCTAAAATGACTGAAAATTGCAAACTTTGCAGGGCTATATTATCCGCATTTTACAACATTTCGCAACGAAACTTCGGAATATTACTAATTTTGCGATGCTCTTTCAAGCTGTGATGAAATTTTTGTCTAGATCAAAATTTTAGTAATATGGTTAAAGGTCCATTGGAAACACATTTATCGGATCGAGTTAAATAATCATTATAAGTATTGATCTTGTTTGGTATCAAATATATGCAATTTAACGAAATTTACTTGCTTCCACAAAGTATAGAGCGGCGATATGTGTAAAGTCGACCATCAAGCGTTTCCTCATGTTTAAGGCTTGAGTGAAACCCACTGATAGGGGGTCTGGGGATGACTCTCACTAAACTTCCGGTGAGAAGAGTTAGAACTAAAGAAACAATCCAGTGCCAATAAACGTAATTTATGATAATTTTAAAATAATAACATTTTCTCACTCTGATAGCCGCCAGTTGACCACCATCTGCTGCACGATAGTGTTGAGTGAAACTCACTTAAAATAAATCGCGCTTTCTCCCTAGGATATACGTGTAAGCTTTGCTTGTAAGCAAGCGTTAGCATTCGTTTTGAGACCCAGCTCACGTCGTGCTTCGACAAAGAGTGAGGAAAATAAAACTGGTGCAGAGAAACCTGAACCAGCCTCACAAGCCAAGACAGATGATCAGATTGACGCCACAAGACAGGCAGCTGAAAGTAGAGCTGAAGATCCTGAAGTGGGAGAACAAGGTGGTGAAGGTGGAGAACATTCTGGTGAAGGTGGAGAAGATGACGATGGAGAGAACTTTAATCTTACACCACCATGGGAAGTGAACCCAGAAGAGGTATGATAAAAGTCAGACTGTTATAATACGAACACTAAAGGGATACAACAAAATACGGTTAGAGAGGTATCTGTATAGTGAGACGTCCGTATTAGAGAAGTGTCTGTATTAGAGAAGTGTCTGTATTAGAGAGGTGTCTGTATCAGAGAGGTGTCTGTATTAGAGAAGTGTCTGTATTAGAGAGGTGTCTGTATTAGAGAGGTGTCTGTATTAGAGAGGTGTCTGTATTAGAGAGATGTCTGTATTAGAGAGGTGTCTGTATTAGAGAGATGTCTGTATTAGAGAGATGTCTGTATTAGAGAGATGTCTGTATTAGAGAGGTGTCTGTATTAGAGAAGTGTCTGTATTAGAGAGGTGTCTGTATTAGAGAAGTGTCTGTATTAGAGAGATGTCTGTATTAGAGAGGTTTCTGTATTAGAGAGGTGTCTGTATTAGAGAGGTTTCTGTATTAGAGAGATGTCCGTATTAAAGAAGTATCCGTATTAGAGAGTCTGCTTATAACCTTACATGCAAACAATGAAATTGGATCTGTTTATATTATATTTAGGACGTACCTGTACCAGACATACCAGAACCTGGTCCATCATCAGGGGGGCGTGGGCCATCATCAGTGGCAGGTACTCGTCTGGAAGCTCTGTTGAATGCTGGCTTTCCAGCAGTGTATGAACTCCCCCCGGATGCAGACGACGAAGCAATGATGGAGCTTGCAATAGCACTGAGTCTACAAGAACAAGGAGAAGAGGCTGCCTTGGGATTACATCATTTGTTGGGAGAGGCGATTGAAAATGGAGGACCTGTAGACGAGGGAGAGCGATCCTCATCCTCAGCATCAGGTAAGGGGGGGGGGAGTGGGGGTGTTGTAGAGGAAGGAATTCTTCTTGCCCAGGTATTGTTCTGGTGGATAATGCATCTGTAACCCTAAATGTTCAAATGTTCCTCGTTGACCTTAGAATCAAGTCTTTATTATGAACACTGAACAACGATACTTCTCAATTGATAGCATGATTCCTTAAGATCACAATTTTTCCACGTCTGGGTAATGTCTAGTTCAGATATAATTCTTGGGCATTCACAATGGAGAAATGTAGAGTAATTATTCATTCATTATTGTACGATTTTTATGATGATTCACAGGTGGTAGTTACATATATTTTAATGCTAGATCTTGAAACATACTTGTATGTTATCCCTAGGTCATGCGAGTGAAGACGATTTAGAACCCACGACTGGTTCAATGGATCTTGTACAAATACACGCAGAAGCGGCTGCTCAACAGTCCAGTCAAGACTTGGGATCAGTGAGTGAGGGAAGTGCTGAGTCTATAAGTGGAGAAAACCCTGGGGACGAACAAGATAGACAGGAGGATGCAATGGGTAAATATAGATATAAATGGATAGCCTGAGTAAATTGTAGTACATGTTCTTGAATGTGAGCTACCGTAAAGTGAGCTGATGTTTTACAAAACGCACTGCTGAGTTAAACATGATTAAATCATGCAGAGGTAGTACATATTCTTGAATGGGCTGCCTTAGAGTGATCTAATGTTGTACAAAACTTACTACTGAGTTAAACATGGTTAGATCACACAGAGGTGTACATCCTCTGGAGTGTAGGCTGCCTAATATTATAGATGAAAAAGTGATTTCATATTGCAGAGAACTCGTTTCAGGATTTTCTCATTTTTTATTCCAGAGAGTGAAAGTGGCGTAGGAGCGACTCCAAAACCAGATGATCCAACAGATCGTTTCAACATGTCCAAATACGATGCTGATGTACGCGAAAAATTGCACAATTTAAACTTGGTCATTCTGCGCACGTTTGTTGATCATTTTCACAGGTTAGATGGCATCGGTGGAGTACAGGCGATACCATTTATGCAGGTGAGAATTTCTATGAGAAATAAATGTTATGTACTTTAATATTAAGACCATAATATTTTAGACCATTATTTTACAGAACGTTCAGAGAAGTGACTGCTTGCCTATGTAACGATTTTTTTCATAGAGTTTCATGTAACCAGGCATAATATCAAACATGTTTCATTGCTTTGGTTCAAGTCAATCACTAGAAAAACACTCCAGTCTGCATACGAGAACTCCTTATACACTGGAGAGATGACGTCAGGCAAGACAGCTAGCGTCATCTCTATTCCAAGAATGATAACTCATATTTATTTGCTACGCTTCCTTGATTTATGATGTAAACATTCTTTTCTCCAGGTTTTGCTCATGTTGTGTTTTGATCTTGACAACAATGAAAGTGACAGTAGTGATCTCTTACATCAAGTATTCACGAAATGTCTTGAAGAATTGCATCTCGACTCCGCTGATATCACAGATATAGCATCTCGCACCAGTTCCCGGGAGGTACAGCTCATTATTATGAGGTTCTTGAGCGTCCTCATGTCAAGATCAAAATCTGCAGGAAAATCATCCAGTCAGGTAAAATTTTTCCTTCGGTCAGTTTATTAACAACCACAATTTAGCGATTTCTTAATAGGTTTAATAGGTTTAATAATAAATTTTGTCACACACAACAATTATTTACAAAAAATGTCAAATAATGTAAGTTAAATAATAACAAGAAAGATAATGTTATCAAACAAAATAATAAATATTTACTTAAAAGCCTATGTGACGAGGAGGTTTGATATAGGAAACCAATTAGGCTTATTAAAATTATCAAACCCCCTCTCGTTTGAGAATTCACACTAATTATAAGCTTATTTCAAAATAAATAACAATGGTAAGCTTAGTTAATTATACATGGAGCAGAAAAGTTTTTTTAATTTCTTTGTAAAGGAAGAAAGCGATACACTATTCACAATATCATTGTCTAAACTGTTATAGAGAAATGGGCCTTGGTATTTTATAGAGAATTGACGTAGATTTGTTCTAGGAGTTACAATGTGAAATTCATTTGCTCTTCTAGTATTATAATTATGTATTTGGCTATTTAATAGGAAAATATTTTTAAAATGTTCTGGTACAAGATTTTTTTTATACAAAAACATGAATTGACATGTTTGCAATTTACATATGTCACTAAATTTCAATAATCGAAGGTTTTTAAAGATCATGCTTGTATGAGAATCAAATGTACTATTATTCATAATTCTAACAATACGTTTCTGAAGAACTACCAAACGAAACAGGTTGGATGCATACGTAGATGCCCAAACAATATTGCAATATTGCAGGTATGGGTACACCAATGAGTAATACAAAGTAAACAATGATTGTTTCAAAAGAAAAAAACTAGATTTACGTATTATTCCTATTGATTTTGAAATCTTCGTTGACACATGACTAATATGAGATTTCCAAGAAAGTTTGTCATCTAAAATAACTCCTAAGAAAACGATTTTTTCCACTTGATCAATTTCTCTATCATGTTCCTAATTTTTAAAAGCGTGAACACTAACCTAACCTAAATCTTAATCCAAGCATAACCTAACGGGAACCAAGTATTTACATGTGAATGACTTTGGTGACAATAGGCATAAACACTCGATAGCTGATTAGATATTTTGACACTTCTTTCACTCCAGGCTATGAAAACTACTTATTTACAATGGATTACATTGTCTGCCTCGATTTCAAGCTATTGTTTCGTTTGCACGTAAGCAAATCGGGAAGTGTCTATTAGACTGCAGAGTTAAGATTTGAGGTCAGGGTTTAGCGATTGTTGTTATGGTTTATATTTTAATGCAATGTTTCTCTTCTGCAGCAGCAAACATCATCAATGTCCACACTGGTAGCTACATCTCTCTTTCAAAACAACATCATGGGTCATTGTCTTGCAATATTGAACCGCCTGATGGAGCATTGGCAAGCACGCGAGAAGACTGGGGAGAGTGAAGAAAATATGGGCTCTTTACTGAAACCACAACCTGGCCATTCACCTCCTGATATGTCACCTTTCTTTTTGAAACAATATGTCAAGGTACACTAACTTTATTTATGCTGGATAGCTCTATCAGTTCTAAACTGTTCTTCCTAGAGGTCCAGTAAGGATCATCTCTTATTGATCCAGTGTTACTACAGGAGGAAACCTAAACGAAACTAACTTTATTTATACTGGATAGCTCTATCAGTTCTAAACTGTTCTTCCTAGAGGTCCAGTAAGGGTCATCTCTTATTGATCCAGTGTTACCACAGGAGGAAACCTAAACGAAACTAACTTTATTTATACTGGATAGCTCTATCAGTTCTAAACTGTTCTTCCTAGAGGTCCAGTAAGGATCATCTCTTATTGATCCAGTGTTACTACTGGAGGAAACCTAAACGAAACTAACTTTATTTATACTGGATAGCTTTATCAGTTCTAAACTGTTGTTCCTTTAGAGTCATGCCAGTGATATATTTGAAGCCTACCCACTCTTGGTGACTGAAATGGTATTACGTCTAACATATCAAGTGAAGAAAATTGCAGATGGTTCTTCTGATGTGGAAATGAATGATTTACCCGAGGACTGGTTCACTTGTCTTTTTGAGGTAAATATTGGAGAGATTTCTACTACAGCTTGATGGATGGCCCATTTGAACAACCCTAGGAAGAGAAAATAATTATGATCTTAAATGTCATTTTGTTTTTTGTAGTACATGATGATTCAACAATCTTCGTTTGTCAAGATAAAGAGACAAGTTCGTAAGCTTCTCTTGTTCCTCTGTGGATCAAAAGAGAATTATAGAGAACAGAGAGATTCCCATGCCCTTGATGTGCACTTTAAAGCTGTTAGGTAACTACTATATAATCAAACTTAAAACTTTTGGCTGGCTTTAGAGATAGATTGTCCATTTGAGCGAACGAAATAATGTCATACTTACTGGTAATATAATACTTACTAGTCTTTATTCTGGCCTTTTCTAAACTGGAACAGTAATATCAAAAGTTGTGAATAAAATGATTTGTTTGAATTACACGTTGTGTTAAATTGTCTTTTCTCTCCAGGCGTATTTGTCATGAAAGTGGATTCAGTGAGGAAGAGCAAACACCAATCAATATTGAATACGATACATTACTGGATCTGATTGAACGTCTCAAGGCTGCTGCTGATATTGCCAGTAATAGAACTAAGAACTGGCAAGCGTATTGTTTAAAAAATCAATGTGAGTGATGACGTACACTGCATGTGTCTTCCAGTTCTGGGCTTTGGTCTGATGATTATACCTGTCACGTTTTAGGAAGAGTTACACTTTTTACACTTTTGTAATTTTGTATTCTTTTCTATTTTAAACTTAACCTTAATCCTAACCCTTACTCTAATCTTAATCCTAACCCTTACTCTAATCTTAATCCTAACCCTTACTCTAATCTTAATCCTAACCCTTACTCTAGTCTTAATCCTAACCCTTACTCTAATCTTAATCCTAACCCTTACTTTACTCCTAACCCCAATTCTAACCCTTTCCCCCAATCCAAACCGAAATCCTAACCCTCGAAGTCTAAAAATAGTAGCTGTTCCTAAATCGTGACTCATATGTTGATGCTAATTTCATCTCGGTCACATGAGTTCTTCCAGTTTGACTCTACCAAACCCCACAGTTATAAATCTTACCTAATTTCATTGCACTTGGATAACGTGGCTGTATTTGTTCCAGGCACTCTGTCTTTCCTCTTCAAAGTGAGCTTCATCATCAATGAAGGAGTCACAGCTACAATACTACAACTGCTCACAACAGCACTATGCGACAATGACAGTCAAAAGGACTCGGAGAATAAAAACCCGGGCAGTGTTCATCAACAATTGGTTCAGCAGTTAACTCAGAGTGTCGATATTGAAGCAATGCGACAGTTTGTTCGTTGTTTCCTGTTACAATCAAATTCCACCAGCATTCGTTGGCAAGCACATTCTTTACTGCACTCTATACACAGGTTTGTACACATCACTATGCACTTGTCCTAACTCGATATCTTATAAGAAGAACAGTTTAGAACTGATAGAGCTATCCAGTATAAATAAAGTTAGTTTAGTTTAGGTTCCCTCCCAGGGATGAATTTACTGGGG